TTTCTGAACTTGTTGGGATAGATAATATCTGCATATCAAGAAAGTTGGGCTCAGAAGAGGGGGTGGAAAGATTGTAAGAACCAGGAAGCAGGTGCATGACCATATGGAAACAAGAGTCCTACAGGTTCCTGGGACCTTGCTTATATGAATCTACAGCAATGGTGTCAGTATGTACAAGACCTATGCAAACTCAAGCAGACAAAATCCCAGCACAGAACAGTGGAAATGGGCAACAAACCCCAATCTTAGTTGAAGAATTATTGGCAGCTGATTACTGCTGGGTGAGGAAGAGCTGATCTTCTTAAAGAGAAGGACTCTAGATAGGCTGCCTAGGCCCCAGTGGATGAACTTAGGGGATGTCTGGAGACACTAACTTGACACAATAGGCCTTAACACAAATGACAGAATGCATGAATTCGGGGGGGGGGTAGTGGAAGGAGGAAATGAGTATAAAGATGATTAAGATTGATTAAGATGTTCTGTATGAAATACACAAAAATTCAATAAAAAATTGCAATGTTGGGTTCCTCAGGATTTTTGCACAACCTATTAAACTTACTTGTAATGTTAACACAGCACTAAGGCAAGAATCAAGGGTAAAAATAGAAAAGGAGATGAGGAAGAGGAAGAGGCAAATAGAACTTGAATGGGTTCCTCCTTACACAGAAAATCAAAGAGAGTCAAAAATTTACTGGAATCCTACCATGTGCCTTGCATGGCTTCTAAATGCTATGGAGAGAAAATCAAGAGAAATGTTCCCAGATCACGAACTCTACACAAATCAGGAAGTCTGGGTTAGATTTCTAACCTTGCCCTTTACTGGCAAAATACTATTTGCCTCCCAGTGTTTCCAATGGTCTACTATAATCTGGCTTGTCTAATAGAGATAAATTCATTTAAAAAGATAAAATGGCCAAGCATGATGGTGTAATTTATTATCATGATTTTATCCTGGAAAAAGAACTCAAAGAGATTCTTGAGATACCAATAACCATGTATTCTTAAAGCCAAGAACTTTACTGTGACCCAGAAAGGCTGAAATCTGGCAAGTAATGGAGTGCAAAGAAGTCTCAGGATGAAGGAAAAAATTGTTAGAAGCCAAGAGGCCAAGGAAGTCCATAAGAGGTCCAATGCACAGGGGTAGACAAAACATTTTTTATTGAAGCAAGCTGTGCTGGCTCTCCACACTCAGGAACCCTGAGCTAACAATCACTGTTGCACCACCATACTTCAATTTGAATTACACTGAAACAGCTGTCTGGAAAAGACAGTTTCTATGTCCACCAGCTAAGCATCGATCATATGAAGGTAAGGTTCATCCTTCTTACTCTCACACCCCAAATGCCCTGATTGGCTACCTGAATTGCATGATTTTTTTAAGACAAGGTCTCCCTGTAAGCACAGCTAGTATGAAACTTGCTGTGTAAACCTTAATCTCACAGAGATCTATCTGCCTCTGCCTCCAGAGTGCTGGATTAAAGATGTGCTTGCCACACTCGGCTGACTGTGCATATTTTAAAAGGGAGAGTAGTGGTACTACAGATCATCAAGATCAACATAAATAATAATTTCAGAGAAACTCAGACATCTCTTCTTCTATAACACTTCTTCTAAGAAGAAAGTATATATTTATAAAGCTCAGAGCTGAAGTTGTGACATGTGTATACCACTATATACTATTGATTCATTTCAAATGAGTTCTAAGTTTGTGTAATATATGAGCATTGAAAGTGGTATAAAGCAAACAGAAAGTTTTATATGCATCTAAATGTTGGTAGGGTAGAGGATAGACTGTATATTCTACAGATTGAAAAATTAATGATTCACAGTCATTCATACAGAGCTCAGAATATCAGTATATCAGATTTACAAATAAATTCAATCTATCAACTAACTACCCAATAATGCTTAATAATTTTGAAAACTGTGTGTAGGCTAACACTCTGTCATAAAATGTAGTAAATTCATATAGAATTGTTTTCTGTGTCCCTACACAGAACTGTTAGCACTCAGCAAATGGATAATAGTCTTTCAATAACAGGATAACCTCAAGGTTTAGGGTTGTTTTAACATCCTGGGGCAGCAACTAAACTACTGAATTTTGGATGAATACAGACCTCAGCACTGCATCAATAGTATACATTCACAGAGCAATTACAATCTCGAAAAGTACAGAAACCCAAATTTTAATTGCCCTGGTCAAATATCTGATGTCTGCTAGTCATATAACTTTCAAGTCCATTTGTCTCTCTAAAGCAAAATTTCTTCACCAACCAAGAGGAAATGAATATTAATTCTCATTGGTACTATTCCACAAGGATACTAAAACGACAAAGTAAAATTAAAGATGAACTATGACATAGCTCAGAAAGTGTATTTCATTATACTGTGTGTTCCTGAGGGACAAATACCCCTAAATCATCCATTTTTGGGTGCATCGAGTTTGCGCAGTAACTTCATAAACATCTGTCAAAATAATGTAAATGAAAATGAGATCAGAAAATCCTTTCAAAACAGGATGTTCTTATCATGCCTAGGTATTTAAGGGGGTTGTTCCAGTTACCTCCCCCATGTTTATAGACACCAGTTTCTACTTATGTTCAAGTCCCTAAACATGCAGTAGTGTTTTCATAGACCCCACATACATCATCCTCTTTACTTTAAATCATCTCTAGATTCCTTCTCATATCTAATTCAATGTAAATGCCATATAAACACTTGTTGATGTCTAGAAAACAATGACAACCAAAAAAGACTGTATAGGGCCACTACAGGCAAAGGGATCACTTTTGTCTTTGGTTTTGGTGTTTTTCTTTTAATCATTTCCATAAGCACTTAATTGAATCCATGAATGTAGAATCCAAAGATACACCTAGCCAGTTGTTCAGTGGAGGAATTTTACTGTAATCTCTCAACATGTCCATAGTTAGTCTGTAATTTTCTTCATAGACTCCATGTTGTATTTATCAATCTTCTAAGAAAGGAAATTATAAATAAGTTTGGAATACAAAAGCAAAACAAGTAACTTTCAAACGGGGTATTGATTATACCTTTTGTGCTGGTTAGTTTTTGTCGACTTGACACAAACTAGAGTCACCTGGGAAGAGGGAGCCTCAACTGAGGAATTTTCTCCATCAGTTGTTCACATGTCTGAAGGGCCCAGTTCCATGCCTGGACAGGTGGGCCTAGACTGTATAAGAAAGGTAGCTGAGCAAGCCAAGCCAGTAAACAGCATTACTGCATGGTCTCTGCTTCAGTTCTGGCCTCCAGGTTCCTGCCTTGAGTTCCATCCTGCCTTGACTTCTTTCAGTGATTACCTGTGATCTGTAACCCAAATAAACCCTTTCTCCGCAAGTTATTTTTGCAAAGTGTTTTATCACAGGAAACAGAAAGCAAACTAGAAAAGTTTATATTATGATTCTTCCTAAAAAGTCAAAAATATTTATTTTTAAAAATCTATTATAGAGCTCAGCTTTCTCATCTTCATTTGCCACTTGAAGTACACTTGATTATGTTATTTAGTGAGACAATACATTTGAAAGTATTTATTTTCATTGATGAACTTTACTACTATTTTAAATTAAACATAACTTGATTTTTAAAGTACTTGCCAGAAGTCTATACCAGGAGTCTATCAACAACAGTTCGTGAGTGAACTTTAGCCTGCTATGCATATTTCAGTGAAATTCAAATTTCAGTGTTCATAAAATGGTTTAGGGTTTGTTTGTTTGTTTGTTTGTTTGTTTGTTTGTTTTGGAGATAGAGTCTCACTATGTAGCCCAGGCTGCTTTTAAACTTACAATCATACGGCCTCAGCCTCACAAGGCCTGAAATTACAGCTATATACCACCATACCTGCTGAATAAAGTTTCTTTGGAACACAACAATATTCTTTAGTTTGTGTGGTGGATACCAGTGTGATGGTGCCTGTACCAAAAAAGTCTAACTCCTAGAATCATTTAAACCAAGAGTAAGCCCAATCTGTTCTCTGAACTGTTCATTTCTGGTTTCTCTTAGAACTGTTCCTCAAACAAAGGACTTTCTCTGTATTTATTTAAACAATACATCCAGGATGATATGGAAAATGAATGAGATCTTGAAGAATCTCCAAACAGGGAAGAAGTCTGCCTTGTCTGACCACTACTGACCTAGAACAGCTAATAGATGTTATCAACCTAAGCCCACATGTTGTTTTGCAACATATACAGTAGATAATCTGTTGCTTTGGATGTGTATCCAAGGTCAGTGCTTTCAGAGATGCTATTTTTGCAACATAAACCCACACATATATTATTCTGGGCCAGGGGCAAAGAAGGGTCTTGAGAGAGAAATAGGGAACATAGTTTTGGGCTTAGTTTGTAAAAGTTGGCTACAAGAAAGCCCAAGGCCTAGTAAGATTGTTTATATTGTTTTCCTAAAAGTTAGCTAAATTTAAATTAGCTGATTACACAGTACAAAGGCAGATTGAATAGATAGCATTATGATCTCAAAACACAAGATTAACTTTGGTTGCAAGTTTAGGTAAAACAGGAGACATTTGCAGGAAAGCCATTCCCACAAGTTTACAACACATTGTCTGTGTCTACTTTCACCTGATAGAATTGAACAGTTGCAGTAGGATCTATAGGGCCTTATAGTTTAAAATATTCACCACAGACTCTTAACAGTCTCCCAGTGCTTGGTCTTTTTGTTTTGTTTTTTGAGACATGGTCTCACTATGTAACCCTAGTTGGTCTTGAACTCATTATGTAGACCAGGTTAACCGCAAACTCACAGATTGTCTGCTTCTGCCTCCTGAGTATTGGGATTAAAGGCACCATTAAAGGCACATTAATATGCCACCATGAATGACTTTGCCAATGCCTGATCTGTAAGAAGTCACACCATGACACTGGAAGTGATTGAAGAACTGAGCCATCCTCCTCGAGCACTAGGGCTGATATTATCTGACCTATCTCCTGGTTCAATGGACAACTCTGAAAGTACCAAAGAGAACTTACTTGCCATTTTCTTTAGGGGACCTAAAAAAAAAGCAAAAGTATAAGTTAGAGTTTAAGACGGTTATAACTGTCACAGCAGTCATCAGTGTACAAGTTCTTCATATATTTCTTCTGATTTTCTTTGAAATTCTTTCTTAAATGAAAATGCTTATACCTTATCAGATACTGGCAAAATCCTGTAGATTAAGGAAAGTAAATGAAATAGAGAAAGAATTTATCTTAAAGCAAATAATTTTTAGTCTTTTAAGTTTAGCCTAAAAATACTTCTTTAAATAAGTCATGTGATTTATCTCTTTATAAATGACATTTTTGGTAGATCAGCAGGGGACCTTCAGCTGTTGGCATTAAAATTTGTAATTTCCTTTTGAGAATACAATGTGCTATATGGTATTAAAATAAAATAAAAGTCAAATGTAGAGATCCACAAAAAAAGATAATAAAACATTGAGAAATTTCAGGACCTTCTTGAAAAAAAAAGAGAAATAATCCTATATCCCTCAAGAAAAGAGATGCTAATCAAAATAAACTTTTTCTTGAATAAAAAAAACAAAATAGGACAATGATCTTGAAGTCTTAAAGAAAAATTATTTCCCAAGAATTTCATTCCTAATTATTAACCCAATAGGAAGATGAAATAAAACTATTTCAAGAACTCAAAAAAACACTGAAATTTCCCCACATTGTGCTGTGCTGCATAAAAATGGGGAAGCAGATCAAGAAAAAAAGTTTACATCAGCCACATGGGCGTGCAGAAACACCCCAGGCAGTCTTCTGAGACCAGGGCATGGAAGAATATTAGTTAAGATTCAAGATAAGCTCTATAATAAGCTGGTTTCCCAAGTAAAGTGGCTTAAAGGAGACAGAATGTACTTCTCTTTCATGCAAAGTCTTATGCTCAGGAATACAGGTTGGTGGGACATTTTCTGCTTCAGAAAATTATTCAGGGACCCAAGTTCCTTTTTATTCACCCAGATTGTCCTGTTTCTCTGAACATTTAAAGCCTAAGGACATATGTTTGTTCCAGTTTTGAAAAAGTAATGTTCAGAAATTCAGAGTAAACAACTAAAGCACAAGTGTATTGTATCACTTCCACTCCTATACTACTACTGATAACTTCTATGGCAAAGCCAACAAGAAGAGAGGTCATTAAATACACTGTCTAGCTATGCAGTCATGGGAATAACTTAAATTATCTTACTAGAGAAGAAAGGAAAAGCAGACTTTATGATATCATCTCTGCCATAGAGAGCAGTCAGTCCAGATTGGGTCTTTTTTTTTTAAATTTGTGAATAAGAACAATGTCAATGCCTGTATCCAAGAGCATCCTTCCATTAGAAGGAGTACACAGGCACAGTGGAAATCAATAGAATGCAACATCTTTGACAGAATCTACAGTGATTATGATATTAAATAAACAATGTAAAACATGCTTCTGACATAAACAGTGACATAACAGCCTTAGTATCTCTCCCTCAACCATCATCTTGGCAGGAGCCTTTACCTTCATAAGCTCAATTCAAACTATATGCATACTATATGCAAACTATATGCATATTTTCAAACAGGAGATTTTTTCCTAAATATTTACATATTTATATTTTCATAGAACATTTTTGTAAAGATATAAGAAGCTGGCAACAGTGGTTGCTTATCAAAAGCTTGTGTTTTCACTGCTCACCTTTCTGTTTTCCTTCTGATTTTGTATATATTATGCTTTTCCATTCCATCCAAGAAAATAAAACAATAAAATGCATTCCTATAAAAATGTAAGTATATAAAACTTTCACACCAGCAATTCTGGTTTTAGGAATTTATCCTACAGATTTGCCAGTATAATATTTTTATAATTAAAAAAGAAGAAAACAACCTAAATATTCAACAGTAAGAGGATGATGGAATTTATTATGTACATATAAAGTAATGAATACAATGCAGCCTTAAAAAAATACACGTATGAAAAAATGGGATACCAAAACCAAAAATCATGACTAGTAATGTGAATAATGAAATAGATGCAGTCTCTACTCCCACAGCTTGACTTCAAAAGAAAATTACAATATTTCTTTGAGGAAGGAAAAAACAGACTGTAAGACTAAAGATTCAATTGTATGACATTAAGATTAAACAACATGAATGCAAAAAAAGAAGAAGAAGAAGAAAAAGAGCATAGAAAGTGACGGACAGTGAAGTAGGAAGACAGTAGGTAGAGGTCAGACCTGCTAAGTAGGGTATATTGCACAGCTTTTAATATTTGTTATTTTAAGTAACAGACATCAAAATAGAATTTCCCATATGCATGAAACTGCACTAAGCATTTTTTAAAAATTAATTTACTTAATCTTCCTTAAGATTCAATAAACTCTATTAATATACACAGTAAAAGTAAAGAGACTAAGAAGCAAAGAAACTAAATAATTTCCCCAAAGTATCTTAAAAGCATTTTTAATAAAGCAAGATTTGTGGGTAAATTATTTTTATACAAATGGAAAGCCAAGATCTAGTAATTCACCCAAACCATCCAGCATTCCCAGCCAGACAAGCCGGCTCCAAAGGCCGTGCTGCCTGCCACACGCTGCCAAATGAGCCAGATCTTCAAAGGCCTCACATTCTCAGGGTCTGATCTTGGTCACGGTGGAGGAGCATTTGGTGAAAACTCCAGAAGCTGAATTGAAATGACCATTGTGGTGTGAAATTAAGTAGGTCCAGTTAACAGGCACGGTCTCTCTTCTCTTAACTAGCTGTGTATCCTTGGGTAAATGATTTAAATTTTCCATTCTCTGGTTTCCTTATCAGAAATAAAAAATGAGGCAACATCTTATATATCCTGGCACATTGTAAATTTTATATAAATACTGTTATTTCTGGTACCACATGTTCTGTGAAAACATGCCAAAACATGCAACACGGCTAATTATGTTGTCAAGTTGCACAGTGCTCCAATCCCTGTCCCTGTATCTGGTAGCTGGGCCACAGCTCTCATGGGTCCTCCTAACGGAAACTGATAGTGCTACTGAGTCTAGCATGGAGCTAAAAGCCAGAGCTATAATGTCAGCTCTGCTCCTCAGCTGGCAAGTGATCTGTTGACTGTGGCCTACTTCTGTCCTTTAAACCTCTTTTTTCCCTCTGTAAAATGAGGATTTAAAATGTCTTTCCTGAGAGGATAGAAGACTAAAGGAATTCAGGAAGATGATGTTTCCAAACCACTGATTCACTCAATAAATGCTCTCATGTGTCATCTAGAGTCATAAGCAGGGAAGAAATGTCTTTCAAAGAGGTCTCTCTGATTTACTCAGAACTGTTAGTCTGAAATAAGGACTAGAGCACCCCTTTCAGAGTAGCTTTGCACCAAGGTACCAAAGTCACCGCAGTGCAAGACTGATGAGCTTTCGGAAGACCTTGAGGCCACTTCTAATCAGACTCCAGGTGAGGGCCAAATAGAAGCTGCATAACTTGTGAAAAGAAAGCCAGGATTCAAATTTCTAAGTTCTTACTGTGGCCCAACCTAGGTATATCTCTGTACCTTTACTAACTCAGTTTCATCTGAAAAAAACAAAAACGAAAACAGTATTAAAAATACTAATTTAGGCCAGGGTTAAAAACGGTATTAAAAATACTAATTTAGGCCAGGGCTGGTGGCACATGTTGTTAATCCCAGTACTCAAGAAGCAAAGGCAGGCAGATCTCTGTGAGTTCAAGGCCAGATTGGTCTATATAGTGAGTTATATGTAGACAACAACCAGGGCCACATAATGAGATGCTGTCTCAAACACCCACCCCCAAAAATGTATACACTAATTTACCATAAATAGCACTGAATTATGGAACTCCAGTTCGTTGCTGTTAAAATATATATGATGAACACAAGGCTATTCCATTCAGAACAAAGAGCACTACCACACATGTGCATTTTTAGAGTAAATTTACCTAAATTCAAGAATACGAATATCCTTGTATCCTGGTAACCCAGTAAATGCATTTTCAACCTGTAAAAATAAAAATAAAGTTGGTAACTATATAGAGATGTGAAAATGTTATTTTAAAAGCTTTTAAGAGCAGAATAAAAAGTATACTATTTACAGGGCTGGAGAGATGACTCACTGGCTGCTCTTTCAGAGGACCCAGGTTCAAATCCCGGCACCCACATGGCAGCTAACAACCGCCCATAACTCCAGATCCAGAGAAACTGACACCCCCTTCTGACCTCCACAGGTATTGCACCACATGGATATACTTACATACTCACAGGCAACACACTCATACATACAAAATAAAAATAAATAAAATATTTTAAAGGATACTATTTACAACTATGGAAGTTTGAACACACAGATTTTTAAAACAGAATAGCTACAATATTAGAAAATAGTGTTTACCACAATATTGCCATATTTTTCTTTTTCATTTTGTCTCTCATAATTTTAATGTGCTTTAATTTTTTAATTTATAAAAAAATACTTCTTATTGGTAAAGTACTGTTTTCCACCCTACATGATAAAATGTGAAAGAAAAAACATTTATTTCAAAAGAAGCTATAAGGGGCTGGAGAGATGGCTCAGTGGTTAAGAGCACTGACTGCTCTTACAGACGACCCAATTCAATTCCCAGCACCCACATGGCAGCTAACAACTGTCCATAACTCTAGCTCCAGGGGATCTGACACCTACTTCTGACCTCCTTGGGAATTGCATTACAAGGATGCACTTATACACATGCCAACAATATACTCATACATATAAAATAAAAATAATAAATAAAAATATTTAATAAAAAAGAAGCTATAATAGCATTTTTATAATAGCATTTTCAAATATTATTGTTTGGGTTAGAAATCTGGCCCCATAGACAGGTGTGGTGATGCACACCTTTAATCCCAGCACTCAGGGGGTAGAAGCAGGCAGATCTCTGTAAGTTCAAGGCCCACCTGGTCTACATAGTGCTTTCCAGGCAAGGACTACATGGGGACACTGGTCCCAGAATGCATACTGACAACGAATCAAATGTTTCTTTTCTCCAAGTGTGAAAGTGTCTAGTAGCATCTGCTTCCTGTTCCTACAACATAAAAGAACTATGAATATACCCAGCATTCAAACAAAGTGTACAAGCCCAAGCTGGGTACAGTGGCACAGGCCTTTAATCCCAGCACTTGGGAGGCAGAGATGGGTGGATCTCTGTGAGTTCAAGGCCAGCCTGGTCTACATAGTGAGTTCTAGGAGTGCTGAGGCTACAGGGAGACCCTGTCTCAAAAAAAGCCAAAAATTAATTAATTAATTGATTAATTAATTAATACTTTAAAAAGTATACAAGCCCTGAATTGTCTATCTCCAGGGGAAAGGCCCTGGAGATGCTTGTCACAAAGGAGGTTAAGAAGCAGCAGTCAGATAACTCAGCTGTCAAAAGATCAATTTATGATGGTCACATCCTCAGGAGCTGATTTTAATACCAAGTCCCTAGAGTCCAGCCCTATAACTCCATATATATATGAGCTCAGTAACCGAAGGAGAAAGAATGCCAGACTGAGGACATACTTTTTATAATATTTTTCTTTTTATTAAATTTTGTTGTATTTCATACAGAATATCTCAAACAATCTGAATCATCTTTATAACCCCATCCACACTGGCACCCTCTCATACCACCCCCTGGAACCCATATACTCTGTCCTGGGCATTAAGGCCCACTGTGTCAAGTCAGTGACCCAAGATATTCCCCATTGCAAGTCCATCGACTTTCAATTTAGTCAGATCCCTTTCACCTATCTACCCAAACACCTATCATTTTCAAGTACATATTTTAACAAAATTTAATATTTAATCCATAATATTTCTGGAAGTAGATCACCAGATGGGTGACTTTGGAGCCAACACAAGAACATGGAAATAGCCAAAGAACTTTAGAGACATCTCTGGGTATATGCTTTTTTTTTTAACGGATTCTTTAAATATTAGTTTTATTATTTATTTATGCATAGGTGTCTGTGTGTGAGTATGCACACATGCATTCAGGTAACCATGGAGGTCAGAAGAGAGCATTGATACCCTGCTCTCTGGAGTAAACAGGCAGTTATGAGCTGCCCAACATGGGTGCTGAGAACTGAACTCAGGTCCTCTGGAAGAGCAGTAAGCATTCTTAACTGCTGAGCCATCTCTCTAGCCCCTAGGTATATGCTTTTAACCAAGTCCTCAGGATACGTAATGTTTTTTAATCTTGATTCACTAAAGCCATCCTGTCTTAAGAATAAAGAATTCAAGGAACTATAGAGATGTCTCATTTGATAAAGTGCTTGCTGTGCAAGCAAGATGACCCGAGTTTGATCTCCAGAACTCACAGAAAAGACGAGACTACGCACCTGTAATCTCATCACTAGTAGGCAGAGAGAGGATCTCTGGGGCTTGCTGGCTAGCCAGCCTAGCTGAATGGATGAGCTCCTGGTTCAGTAAGAGACCCTGTCTCAAACAAGGTAGAAATCAAGGACCAAAAGTAAGGTTGTCCTCTGACCTCCACATGCATACTGCGTCAAGCACATTGCCCACACTCACACACATACACACACATACACACACACACACACACACACACACACAGAAGCAGAAGGAGACTTGATTTTATATTCTGTTCCTAGAGAGGCTGGAATAGCCATGAACAACTTATCTGACTTCCTGAACCTCATCTGAAAGGTGAAATGCTTATCGGCTTCACTACTGCAAGCAAACAGACAGAAAGCAGACTGTAACAGTCTACACCACCTCGATACTGTGGCTGCCTTCAGGTACTGAGATTCCCACATTTATCATGCTGTCTTTCCCTATCTGATGTACTTGGTGTTGTCTCAAGCTTACCATTCTCCCTCTTCCTTTAACCTTTCTCCTCAAAAGAGGCTTCTGAACATCCTCTCTTTCCCCTTAATAACTGAGGAGGTTATATAAAGGAACAACCAGCATGACCATGCCATGAGGGGAGAGGGTTGGAGGGTCCACTATAGCTTGCAGTAGGTAGAATGACAACTTTGTTCAGGAACTCCCCCAAAGAACACGTACATATAAACATACACATGCACAAACAAACACACACACAAATACAAACACACAGGGACAAGCACAGGTGCACACACACACACACACACACACACACCGCTACTATTCCACACAAAGAAGTTGTTATGAATCGACATTTAAGCACAGGTGAGATGATGATGGTGGATGCTGAGGTTGGCCAGGGACCATTCATCAACCTCAAATCACCTCAACCAAGTGGCCACCTATCTCATAAAGCCATTACTGGAGGGATTTTTCAGAGTATTTACCAGACTTTCTCTAACCCTCCAGTCATCCCATGCAGTTGTTTACCCAAACACTAAGACTTAGTAAAGGTTCCTTAATCCAAGGGCAGGAAGACCAGGCAGCCCATTCAAGACACTATCTGATGCCAGGTGGCCACTGGCCTGGCTGACATTTCTCCCACATACCATACAGCCTTGCAACTTGGCTGCACAGTTAGGAAAATGAATTGTCTGGCCTCCAGTCCCCATGTCTGATGGCTGCCATGAAGCTGTTTGGCTGAGAGACGCATATTTATATTTCCCATCTGGACGCAATATCTGGAGAAGGGAAGTAAGCCAAGGTAATGGAATTGACAAACTTGGCCAAGAAAAAACCAATCAAGTAGGGATGGAAAAGAAATAGGAAGAAATGAGGCCTGGCCATCACACAGAGAGGGGTAGGTGGCACTCAATCTACACCTCAAACACAAGAACAGATACACTAAGAGGCCAGGGATGGGTCATTTTTAATGGAAGAATCTTGAGTTCAAATTCTATCCAGAATTCTTCCAGAAACTGAGTTATGGAATTGTTTAATCCATGGTTATTTAGAAAAAAATCCCTTTAAAAGAAAACACATCTTGCCAGACAACAGAAATAGGAGGGAAATTTATTCTTTATATTTCCTTTGGTGTCTCTAAATTTTTCACATATGTCACCTATGTGTTAACTACTCAAACATTTTCCAATTAAGGAAAAAGAGTAACAAATATAAAATGTAAAGAAATTACAGTCAATGCTCCTTCCAGGAAAAAAAAAAAAAAAA